ACTGTATAAGCCTATGGGCTTGACGGCGCGTGCATATTTGCTAATTAATTAGGTTAATCGTTAGTCAATTAACTCGAAACTCACAGTGATTATTTCTAAGACCTGTATCATTATGCATGTAGAATTCTAGAAACGTAACTCATAAAGATCGCGAGATATGATAGGTAAATACACTTTTCTAAACCCGTACTACAGGCCTGTATAAGACTAATGGGCTTGACCGCGCGTGCATATTTGCNTTCCTCCCTCTCCTTTCTCCACAGCTTCTCCCTCTTCCTCCTTCTCCACCAGCTTCTCCCTCCTCCTCCTCACCAGTTCTTCCCTCCTCCTTCTCCACCAGCTTTCTCCCCCTCCTCCTTTTCCACCAGCTTCTCCCCTCCTTCTTCTCCATCAGCTTCTCCCCCTCCTCCTCCTCCACCAGCTTCTCCCCCTCCTCCTTCTCCACCACCTTCTCCCTTCTCCCCCTCTTCCTCCTCCACCAGCTTCTCCCTTCTCCCCCTCCTTCTTCTCCACCAGCTTCTCCCCCTCCTCCTCCTCCACCAGCTTCTCCCTTCTCCCCCTCCTCCTTCTCCATCACCTTCTCCCCCTCCTCCTTCTCCACCAGCTTCTCCCCCTCCTCCTCCTCCACCAGCTTCTCCCCCTCCTCCTCCTCCTCCACCAGCTTCTCCCTTCTCCCCTCCTTCTTCTCCACCAGCTTCTCCCCCTCCTCCTTCTCCACCAGCTTCTCCCCCTCTTCCTTCTCCACCAGCTGGTGTCTTAGCTGAAGTGGAAATCGCCATATCTGAGCATATATGCGAAGTGCGCACACAAAGACGAGCTGTGATTAGTCGTGTCGGGACGCACGCGATGTGCGCGTGCGCATAGGCGCGGGGGGCGGGGCTATCTCAAATATTTCGCAAGGCACAAATTTCGCGCTACACCGGTTTGAGTCGGCGCGTTCACACGTACGCAAGTGAATACTGTCTGTCAAATTCAAATTCAAATAAATTTTATTGCACAAATACCTCACAGATAAATTGGCAGTATGTCGCGAGATGGCGTTGTTTATTATTTTAGTATTTAGAGTGTTTACTTACGTTCAGAGTTTAATTATCATTGCAATCTTGAAAACGTGCATCCTGATCAAATTTTTCGAATTTTTATACTGTTTTTGAATTTTTATACTCTTATAAAGTTATACTGTTTCAACCGATTCTACCTCTCTACCGCTCGCCGAAAGCTGGTGCTAACATTTGGCTCGGGCCTTTTCCGACGTTTTCGATGGGGCCAAATCTGGCTCGGGACAAAAACGTCCGTGTGAACGCTCGGCTCGAGCCAAATCTGGCACGGGCCTAATTAGGCTCGGGCCAAAAACGTCCGTGTGAACGCGCCTCAAATGCCGTCCAAATTGGGTCCGTCTAATTACCGAAAGGCACCGAAAGGCACCGGAAGACACCGAAACGCATACCGAAAGGCACACCAAAAGACACCAAAAGGCACGAAAGACACCGTAAGGCTAGAGTACCGTAAGGCAGGCCCGTAGCCAGGGGGGGTTCGAGGGGTTCGAACGAACCCCCTTCCCCCCCACCCCTGAGCCCCCAAGCAAAATTTTATTTTTTGAAAATTTGCAAGAATTTCACCTCAGGTGACAGGTCGTTCCATTTTAGTGTAATAATTGCAAAATCTCCATCATGCGGGAGGGTGAACAGTGAACACCCCCTCCCACGCCCTCCCCCCGCTCAGTCACTTGGCTCCCTCGCCTGGTCGCTTCGCACCCGAGCAGGGGCGTGTACAGGGGGGGTCCAGGGAGTCCGGACCCCCCTTGCTCGCGCAGAAAACGCATCTGAGGGTCTAATTTTAAAAATTTTCTATAGAATTAATAGCTATACATTTGTCGTTTGTTACCTAATAATTCTGAAACCAACAGTTAGATTCGCATTTCTGGTGATTAATGTTAAAAGTAAAAAAATTATTTCAAACTTAGTGAACTGATTCGTTATTCTGTAAATTAATTTAAAACTTATAATTTCAATTGTTAGGGTGATGAAGCAAGATTTGAACATTTGTGAGTTTATGTAATATGTTCTCAATTAAATTGCAAGTTAGTAAATTGGTTTGTTGTTTTGAAAATAAATTGTACGTTTAGAAAATGAATTTTTACAATGATGTGAAGGAATTTGCATATCAGGCAATTATTTTGGAAAGTTGTGAATTAATTTGCAAGTTAATAAATTGATTTGTTATTCTGTGAATTGATTTTAAATTTTGAATTTAAATTTCTCAAACAATATAAAGTAATTTGTATTTTTATTAATTAATTTGAAATGTTTTAAATTGATTTAAAATACCCTTAACTATGGAAAGCCATCCCTTTCAAAAATAATTTTCAAACATTTCAAATACACAATACCCATGGATTCACGCCTACGTGATGTTAATCTGTACGCACCGCCATCTGATGAATATAATTTTTTTACTTTTTTTACTTTTTTAAATTTTTGTTTTAGCCAGAACCACCTCCCAGACGTGCTGATTCTGAAAATATCTTTAGTTTTCTTCTAGGCTGCGGAGTTCTCTAGTTATGCGAGTACGCACTAATTCGGCTGAACAACTTTATTATATAAGATATATCCAAGTTGGGATATGCAAACGGCCAAATAAAATAAATGTTTGAGCACACACAAGTGCAGGGATTTAACACCTGATGCTTGTTAGTGTGCGCACGATGAACAAAGTACACGTCGCAGCAGCAGATAAACAAAAAAACAAAACATACGCAAAATAAACACCTTTTCAAAAACTACATTTGCATCACTTTCTCCAGAAATCACACAGAATAATACTGTACTTCATGTGTAACCCCGCCCCTTCAAAAGGACGCGACCAATCACAGCATTACGACACGTTGCCGTGCTCTTCTAGGTAAACCTTTAAACAATGAATATCTCCGGTAGACACAGTCTGACTAGCAGTGCTTACCATCCGCTTCACGCTAGCTGACACACACGAGCGATGTAGCACGCATGTGTCACTACTGCCAGACAGCTCAGCATCGCTCATGGGACGACCCCCGACTTTACAATCTACCTGTTCGCGAGTATTAAACTCGTCGACACAAACATCGCCCACAGGCGTGATGCCGTCATCCTGACGCCATACCCTGGAAGCTATCCAGCGCGTGGCGCTACCTGGTGGTGCCAGCTTGGCATCGAAGTAGAGGATCTCATTGTTGGGGAGATGGCGCCTCAGCGTGTCGCAGTTCGCTCGTGGATGCAGACTCTCCTTGTTGAAGTAGTTGTTGCTTAGCGCCTGCTCTCCCTCACCGGCATCGCAGTCACCGCCGCTGCCTGCGGCTGCAGAAACACCCGCTCCGCTCTCCGTCTGCATCGTCGTCATGGCATCGTCCAACACACGCAAGCACCTGTCCAGCTCTCGCCGGGCCGCCATGATGTCACGCACGTCCTGGTCGGACACACCGTCCGCTGCGCCGGCGCACGATTGCACCGGTACCTGTCTCAACACTGAGGCAGCGCTGATCAAAGACTCAGGGACGTCACCCTGAAGGACGAAGTGAGGCGTGATACATTTTCCAACATTATTCAGCTGGATAAAATGAGGCGTGAGACCGTCCGGGACAATCTGCTGATGGATGGAGTGAGGCGGGAAACGTTCTGGGACATTATTCTGCTGGAAGAAATGAGGCTTGAGACCTGGGACAATTTGCTGACGGATAGAGTGAGGCTGGAAACGTTCTGGAACAATCTGCTGATGGATAGAGTGCTGCGTGGGACCGTTCGAGACAGTATTCTCTTCAGGACGGTTCGTTGGAAGTGTGTCGACAGGAACAAACTGAGCTTGTTGCTGTGGATTGCCATCATTAGTAAAACTCAAGTCACCGCCCCGTAGGCTATCTGCCCGCCGGAGTTTCTTACTTACCGTGGTGCCCGTGTAAATGCAGGACGAGAATCCAGGCTCAGCCTCCTCCTTCTCTTCCTCCTTTTCTTTATCTTCCTCCTCCTCAGCCTCTCCCTCCTCTACCTCCTCCTCTTCCTCCCCGTCACACTGATCGGCATTGTCAAATTCTAGTTCATTGTTGATCTCGTCCAGCCAATCCTGCGTTAACTCCTCGTCCTCCTGCTTCTCCGTGTCTTCCTGCTCCTCCATATCTTCCTGTTCCTCCGTGTCTTCCGGTAACCAGGCCCTCACCGCGACCCACTTCGCAGCCACACCGGGTTTACCCAGTTTCGCGTCGAAGCACACCTTCTGACCGACGCGTACGGCCAGTGTCGGCAACAGCGACAAGTGAACGTACACGAGCCCCGCACCGCAGCTTAGGAAGGTCGAGTCGCTCGTCGTCCTCGTCTGTGTGACGGTGCCGGAGTAATTCACCAGCGTGACGGCACTGTCTCTGCACCGCGCGGAATCGCTGCTGCTGCTGCACACGCTGCCAGCAGCCGAGCGAGCATCTCGCTCCCGACTACCAGGACGCCATATGCTGGTGGCCGCCCACTTGGCTTTGGCCCCCGGCTTTCCCTCCGTACAGTCGAAGTGGAGCACCTCATCTATCTTCAGCTCTTTGGTGAGATCTGCATACGCTGGCATTCCGATAAACTGGATTTTGTGAAAGAAGGCGGTGCCCTTTTTAAATGAGACAAAGCCTAGCTGTGGAAAGAGCCTAATTACCTTCCCCTTCTGTGCAGTCAAGCTAGGTTGCGTCACGTCTCTTGGCTTGCACGCCTTCGATGTAACCTTGGATAACTCTGCTGCTGCCGGCTTCACCACGACGTTAAATTGCTGTGGTTCCTGCTGGATTAAATGAGGCGTGAGACCGTCCGGGACAATCTGCTGATGGATGAGGTGAGGCGGGAAACGTTCTGGGATATTATTCTGCTGTAAGAAATGAGGCTTGAGACCTGGGACAATTTGCTGACGGATAGAGTGAGGCCGGAAACGTTCTGGGACAATCTGCTGATGAATAGAGTGCGGCGTGGGACCGTTCGGGACAGTATTCGCTGCAGGACGGTTCATTGGGAGTGTGTCGACAGGAACAAACTGAGCTTGTTGCTGTGGATTACCATCATTCGTAAAACTCGGGTCACCGCCCCGTAGGCTATCTGCCAGCCGGAGTTTCTCACTTGCCGTGGCGCCCGTGTAACTGCAGGAAGAGAATCCAGGCTCAGCCTCCTCCTCCTTCTCTTCCTCCTTATCTTTATCTTCCTCCTCCTCTTCCTCCTCCTCAGCCTCTACCTCCTCCTCTTCCTCCTCCTCAGCCTCTACCTCCTCCTCTTCCTCCTCCTCAGCCTCTACCTCCTCCTCTTCCTCCTCCTCAGCCTCTGCCTCTACCTCCTCCTCTTCCTCCCCGTCACACTGATCGGCATTGTCAACCTCTAGTTCATTGTTGATCTCGTCCAGCCAATCCTGCGTTAACTCCTCGTCCTCCTGCTTCTCCGTGTCTTCCTGCTCCTCCATATCTTCCTGTTCCTCTGTGTCTTCCGGTAACCAGGCCCTCACCGCGACCCACGTCGCAGCCACACCGGGTTTACCCAGTTTCGCGTCGAAGCACACCTTCTGACCGACGCGTACGGCCAGTGTCGGCAACAGCGACAAGTGCACGTACACGAGCCCCGCGTCGCAGCTCAGGAAGGTCGAGTCGCTCGTCGTCCTCGTCTGTGTGACGGTGCCGGAGTGATTCACCAGCGTGACGGCACTGTCTCTGCACCGCGCGGAATCGCCGTCGCTGCTGCTGTACACGCTGCCAGCAGCCGAGCGAGCATCTCGCTCCCGACTACCAGGACGCCATATGCTGGTGGCCGCCCACTTGGCTTTGGTCCCTGGCTTTCCCTCCGTACAGTCGAGGTGAAGCACCTCGTCTATCTTCAGCTCTTTGGTGAGATCGGCATCCGCCGGCATTCCAATAAACTGGAATTTGTGAAAGAAGGCGGTGCCCTTTTTAAATGAGACGAAGCCTAGCTGTGGAAAGAGCCTAATTACCTTCCCCTTCTGTGCGGTCAAGCTAGGTTGTGTCACGTCTCTTGGCTTCCACGCCTTTGATGTAACCTTGGATGACTCTGCTGCTGCCGGCTTCACCACGACGTTAAATCGCTGCGGTTCCTCAACAGGCATCACTAGATCGTCCTCCAGGAGGAATTCATCTGAGTGCGACCTCACAAAGTCCGTCACTGAAATCAACTTGCCGGCGATGCCGCTGCAGCGGACGGCGTCGCTTCTCGCTAGCTCCTCTAATTTGCACAGCGTCACGGAGCCATCCATGTACAACCTTTTCCTGACAAGTGACAACAGAATTGCGTCGATGGAGGCATCCCCTGATATGTTGTTGGCACACTTGGCGGTCAGCGCTGCGGGCTCCAATGGCTCTCTCGACACTCTGACCGCCCGCCACTCACACGTAGCTTTCGGGCCGCCGGGAATCGCGTCAAAATACAACCTATCGCCAATTTTGTATGCGGAAAGAAGATCCTCGGAGCTTCCTTTATCAGTAGATTGAGTGTTAAAATATACCTTAGAGGCACCTTTGTAACTGAGAAAGCCGCATGTTGGTAACAACTCTGATACGGTTCCTGCAGCCCCAACTATATCTCGAGAGGAATTGCCTGTAAACTGGCTCGCTGTTGCCACCCCAGCATTGGCGCAGCACAGAGAAACCCACCATTTTGGATCTACGAGGAAGACTTTATTGTATCGCAGCAGGAAACTGTGAACTGATTGGGCGTTACAACCGACGACTGTCTGAATAGAACTATGGGAATTGCATACAAGTTGAGCTAATTTATGCAGGGTGGCTTTTCCACCTTCCTTCTGGATCAACTCAGTCAAGCACACAACAGAAGGTGCATCTGCTCCTGCAGTCGATGGCGGGATGCCTTGTATACGCAAGTCGCTCGCGACTACAGCCTTGGTCCCAGACACTAAAGACACTTCGTCTTCTTCATCGACAGAGAAAAACTTGGAATGTTTCTTGATGAACTGGCAGGTGGTAGGAATGTCAGTAAGATAGGCTCTCAGCTCCGGCGAAGCTTGTGCCCTTCTCCCGGCCAGTCGGCGCAGGTCTATGCACGACTCGCTGCGCATCAGACACATTTTCCGGAAGAAGTCGATGCACTCAATGCTAACTGTTAAGGTTTCTTTGATCAGCCTTCTAACGTGATCGCGTCTGATTTCGAAGGAATCTGTATGTCTCATTAGAAAGCTTACAAATTGTTTCACTGACTTTCCAACAGCTTTTCTCACGTCTGCAGATGCCTGAGACCTTTTACCCATTAGTTTAGTGAACGTTACCTCTTCAACTCCCCAGTCAGTGAAGGCTTGTGTATAGAAGGTGACTGCATCATCCTCAACTCCTGATCCAGTACTTGCTGAGGACATTTTTGATTTTCGTACAATTACTTGACACAGTATCGGGGTTTATATAATGATGTCTACTTCAGAGGCATAGCCAATGTTCTACATTTCAACCATCACTGTGTTTTCATCAGAATTGCTTTCAGTCTGCATGGGTAACGTTGCCAGTGGTTACCAAGTCCCAGTTTTCTTCCACCTGCATTAGCTGCTGGACTGAAGCGTCACTACTGCCGTCACAATGTCTCTCCACTCGATCCGCACGTCCTGCTAATGAAACAAACGTTCCTTCACTTTAGATACCTCGTGGTGATGCCCCAGGAATCTCACAAACTGTTTGTCCTCGCGTCCAACAACGGTGATGACAGCCTCTGGTGCTTGCGCTTTAGTAGAGGCTAGGCGGTGAATGAGGACTCTCGCTTCTCCCCACTGTAGAAGTTTGCTGCTGAAGTATGTGACAGTGTCGCTCTCGGAATCTGGCGTCACATGAAACCGCATGCTGTCGTGGAACGAAGGGTCCTGTCCGCGCAGTCAGGAAGGCAACATCTTCCGCGGAGACCTGGAAAATTGACGGATGCTGGCAGAGGAAGAAAAGAAATCTCACAATACCGGGTCCGATGACTTTGTTGACGATTGCAGGGCTCCTGTGATCACCTAGGTGAGTTACGAAATGAGTTACTGGTAGCAGACCCTTTTGTGGTTGCATTATTTAGGCTGGCTATCGTGTGTGGCAATGGCATGCACATGGAGATGGGTGGATGGTTACTGGTAATTGTATCCCCCGCGACGAAGTAGCGCTACCAAACTTGGTATACTTACACATCCTGGGGAAAAGGTGAGCAGCGTACCAAAACCAGGTCCCTGCGACCTTTATTTTACCTTCATCCTATTTCCCTTCCGCTCTATAACTCGGCCCCTAATTGACCTAGCGCGACCAAACTTCGTATACTTACACATCTTGGGGAGAACACGGGGGATACATGTAGTTGGCGACAACTGCCCATTCTAGTTTAAAACGAATTCTTTCAATGTATGGCCCCCATTCAACTGCGCGACTGTTTTTCAGGCACAAATGTGGTGTCGGTTAGTAAAATTCAAGATATTTTTTTTAAACGCTGGACAACATGTCATAACTCTCATGGTGAGAGTTGAAGTACATGGCTACCTAGCTTTAATATTGCCACTCGGCCGAAAACGGTCAAAATAGGTAAATACACTTTTCTACCGGCTAAACCCGTACTACAGGCCTGTATAAGCCTAATGGGCTTGACCGCGCGTGCATATTTGCTAATTAATTAGGTTAATCGTGGGTCAATTAACTCGAAACTCACAGTGATTATTTCTAAGACATGTATCATCACGCATGTAGAATTCTAGAAACGTAACTCATACAGTTCGCGTGATAGCGTGTGTGCGGGGGAGGGGGAGGGGGGGTTCAATAGCTGTGCAATGCGCCCAGTACAGACAGTAGAGGCGGGCGCGGGCAGGGGGTTCGGAGTCGGGAGCCGCCATATTGACCGGTAGAAAAGTGTATTTGCGCCAACACTGGCTCCCGCCAAGTGCCATTGCTGCCGCTGCAGTGCTGCACACTGACACTTATATATATAGGTGTTGATATACATACAGTAGAGGCCGTCCATAGCCTGCAAGCCTGAATAAGCATCGAACAGAAATTAATTAAAAATACTCACACTGTTAGTGTTACTGCACTTACAAAACATACACTTTATTCATGTTAAATAACTACAGATTCATGCTCTATGCTCCCCTCGAAACTTTTGCCAGCTCTAGGATGCGAATTTCTGCAAAGTTGTCTGAACACATTTCATACACAAAAATCACCAACCGGTCGCTCTGACTACGCCACCTGACGGAATCTCACGAATACAAAACAAAAATAATTTTA